TTTTTTGGCTGTTTTCATGCCTTCGGTATCACCCAAAAGATTGCCTTTGTTTTAATGTTTTCAATAAGGGCATAACTGTGCCCTGGAAGGCTTCGGGCGGTTTTTTGTAAGTTGAACTCCATTTGTCCAGAAGTTTGGTTGGGTTCTCTCCACAGTGATACCAATTCTTAAAAAGGAGTATTCCATCCTCAATTGGGTGAGAATTCATGAGATCACAGTTTCGCTTCATTTGAACATTGTTATTTAAAGTCTTCAAATTTGGTTTTTTTCTTTGTTTTTTTGATTTTTTTTAACAAAATTTTTAAGGTAAGGAGTCTTATATTGAATAGATTATCATGCAGAAGTTTATTAAAGTTTTTTTCTTTTTTTCAGAAATGAGTAGATTTCCACTTTTATCAGCGGGTGGTGTACGACTTGCCACTCGAGAGGATGTCTTCCTTGATCAAAACGATCAAAACAATTGTAATGGAACTGTAATTGAAGAATTGGGTATAATTGAAAGAAATTCAACAGACAGCGAAATCCAAAGTGTTATTGGAAGAATTGTTCACGTTGAGTCGTTGGTGGTGCTTCGTGTAGTTCCGGTGTAACTGGTGGATTATTTGGTGGTGCTTCGGGTAGTGTCGGTGTTACTGTTGGATTACTTGGTGGTGTTTCGTGTAGTTCCGGTGTAACTGGCGATTTGCTTGGAGGTGATGCGAACGACCAATCTGGTGATCATTCAAGCGATGAAGAAGAAGACTAATGCGTGCAAATGTGGTAAACTAAACTGCGGTAAACCAAGACCTACAGCATCCTTGCCCGACCACATTGACTGCGATGTCGCCAATGTTATTGGTGAAGGATATTTACCTGGTAAGAAAAGGATTTCAAAGAATCACCGGAACCAGGGTGTGTAGGAGGTCGGATTGGTACCAGACAGTATGCGGAATAATTGGAATAAACCTATTCCTAAAGGGTTCCGAGGCGATGTAAAAATTTGATGGATTATGGCAACCCCAAGCATCTTAAACCAACACCTGTAAACTACGAGGGTGGCGGGTGTGAGCGGCCTTATTCTGGGAAAAATAATCAATATCGGCACGAACGAATTTGTTCATTTCCCGGAGCCATTACATGTCTGCAATAAAGATTGTGCCAAAGATTGTCCAGGTTCAAAGAAATGGGTTCCCGCGACTGATTATCGCAAAGGGAACAAATGTGGAACCCTTGGCCGACCAAGAGGTGGAAAGAAATGATTTTTATGTATTTCTGAATTTTCAATTATCAATAAAACATTAAATTTTTAAATATGGTTTCACATTTTTTTGCAAATGGTGGATCAATTGTCATAATTTTTGTGAAATCTTCAAAATTGTTAATGTTTTTCTTTTTTGTGCGAAACGTGGCAACATTTATACCATCACATAGCACAAGTTTCTAGTAAGTTGTTCAAAACGACAAAAAGAAAGAAAATTTCTAAATGGTGGATCATGATCCATGTTTTTTGTTGAAACATTGTTAAGGGTTAAATTTTACTTTTCATTCGTAAAAATAAGGTTTAAAGTTAAATTGTGTTCTAATAAGTTGCTAGCATTAATTTAAATGGAATAATGAAAAAATGATGAATAATAGAAGGAAATTTTTTTTTGAAAATGGTGGATCATGATCCATAATTTCTTGCAAACATGTAAATTGTGTATTTTTTGTTTTTTCTTGTGTTAAAATAGTGTCATAAGTTGATGTTTTCAACTCTATCAGTTTCTTATAAGTTATTAGTAGTTTAAATGAAATTTGGCGCAAATTTGAGTAATAGTAAAAAAAGGTGGATTTTGGTTGAAAGAAAATTTTCAGAATGGTGGATCGTGATCCATCATTATTGTTTTGAGAAATGGTAGATCCGACATTATGGATGGTCTAATCATGGTCTGATCATGGTCATGGACCAGATCATCATTAATGGCCGTAATCTTGTTTTCAGCTCCGCCAAATGCCGTGGAATAAAACAGATTACAAATACAAATCTTAGAACTATATCTGATCATGAGATACTATGTTTACAAAAAACAGACATTGCATGCGTCTCACTCATTGTCTGAGTTTAGCCTCAACATCATTGTTCATCAAACAAGCTTAAAGTTAATTAAAGTCTGTAGTTGACTTAACCAACACAAAGTTCTCCATACTATCTATATTTCTCTTCAGTCAGTATTCTCGGAATACTTTATCTATACCAACACGGCTGGTGAAACCTCTTTGTAATACTCGGTATTACTTGTGTTAAACGTGTTATTAATTGTCTTGGACTATTACTGTTTTGTTAACTATTTTACTAGTTGGTCAATTGACTTAGTTGAAATGTTTAAACCTGTTGGAATTGTGCTTAACACAACCCGGTTGAGTTTACATTGTGTTTACTAAGGCTTTGACAGCTTAGATTTGATAAATATACGTTGGAAGTGCTTTTGAACCAATAGTCCCACAACAGCGGATAATGGCTGAAGTATTGTATCTGCATCATACAAGATCAGTGTTGTTCAAACATGTTCGGATGATGCTTGACATGTGCGATTGGAAATTGCCATGACTTTTCTTGATTTGATTGAGCAGAATAAACACGATATTAACAAAATCTAGTTTTCTGATGAGTGTTATTTCTGGTTGAAGGAATCTTTCGATCGGCAGAATTATCGAATATGAGGATTAGAAAACCCACATATAACGCTATGAAGTTCTCTCCATTCAAAGAAAGTTACACTATGGATGGCAATACGGTCCTACTGTAATCTATTGAGAAACTAATTCTCTCTTTGAATTCAGAAACACCATTGTAAAAGAGAAACGCCGTTTTCTTCAATATGATTGACAGCACAAAAGATCAGCTTATTTTATGTAATAGCCTTATAATTGGTTGATTTTCTTTCGCAAATAACTTTTACCACACTGTCTCCTTTTTATTTAATATTTGCATGAAAATGTACCTGTTTTTGTAGGAGTTAAGATATTCGTTTGCTTATTTACTCTTTATTTTAATACATACTATAAAAGGAAGGTTCACATAAATTGGGTCTCTTAAAAAAGGTTATCAGTGGATACATATAATTATTTAATAGGTATGCTAGAAGTGGAGCGTATATTTATCACAATAAAGTATCTGGCAAGATTTGATAAAATACTGCAGGGAACGGATGTGGTCTCTTACAAATAGTTTAACACTTTGTTCCACTGATCCTCATCAAAGGAGTCCAGTCACCGTTGATCACAATTTATAGTCGATGTTGTTCACAAATTCTAGTTACCGTTGTTCACAAGTTCTAGTCAATGTTGTTCACAAATTCTAGTCACCGTTGTTCACCAGTTCTAGTCAATGTTGTTCCCAAATTCTAGTCATCGTTGCTCACCAGTTCTAGTCAATGTTGTTCACAAGTAAAAAGTCAAAGGAGTAGAATCTCAAGTAGTTAGGATGCACAATCACCTTGGTAGGAGTCACAAGTATTAGTGGAGATTCAGTATAAAATCTATAACTGAAACATCTCTAATATTAAACTATCAACTTTGACTCGATCATCATTGTGCATCTTTTGCGTTTCAACAGGATTTAGCTATGCCACATTGCACTTATGATGTATCTTAACGGAAAAACTGCGCGTTATTTCCCTTGATTACAATAAGCGTTTGAGGTTTGCAATATTCGAATGTCTGTACGTGATGACTCTATAGTCATGATCTAAATCCTTTTGATTTTTACCGCTGAGGTTAGTTGAGGGACCAGGATTAGCATTCGGAACCGAAGAATGTTGAACAGCTCAAACAGGCTATCGCAGAAGCAGCCAAAAGAATTTATGAAGTTTTTTGAAATCTCTTATACCTAACTTTATAAAAAGGTGTGAATACCTTATCTTCACCTCTTTAATTTCCTTACCTTTACATCTTACCTTACCTTAACCTAACCTTATCTTATATAAGGTAAGATGATGTAAGGTAAAGGTACGTAAAGGTTAGGTCAAGGTAAGATAACCTTATTTTCATTACCCTTTCCTTTCTCCATCTTAACTTACCTTACCTTTACCTTATCCAATTTTCTCATATCCTTCCCTTTCTTTCTTAACATACCTTTACGCTCTTTTTTACCTTAACCTAACTTTATCTTACATAAAAGCAAGGTAATATGATGTAAGATACCTTACTTACCTTACCTTACCTATTCCTTTGTTACCCTTTCCTATATCCCTTTGCACATGCGCTCAAGTTATCTTGACTACGCCCCTTACCTATACGCTTGTCACTCTTTCTTTTTCCCTCTCTTTTACCTGTACTTGTGCATGTAACAGATAAATAGAGTTGTACGTCATGAAAGAGATACTTGCAGATGCTTTTTAGATTCGCAGTAGTCTGTAGTAAAGGGAAAAGGAAAGAGTGAGGGACAAGCGTATAGGTAAGGGGCGTAGTTAAGATAACGTGACAATGAAAAGTAGGTGACCTTATATTTAAGATGAACTAGATAAGACTTTTCTTGAACAAGATCCAGGATAAATCATCATAAATGTCGTTCTCTTTGTCTAATTGAGCTCTAAACAACAATACATCAAAATCGGATCAGTAAAACCCGAGTTGTAATTGACCAAAGTTGGACTAAAAACAACTCTCAAGTTAAAGAGTGACTCCAATCAGTGTGTAGATTGCTACAATTGTTAGTTGATTCTTTTACAAAAGTAAAGATGAATGAATCTCAACTTTAAGGAAGAAAGTGAAAGTTTTTAGTTGGAACAAGATGAAATAATAAACTTGGTGATGAGATGATGATTAGATGATGGAATGCATTGAAAGGTCAATTTTATTCATTCATAAGTTTTATGCCCAAGTATAAGCTGATCTACACATTCTCTTAATATTTATAATTATTAATGATTGGACTCATTTGTTCCAGATCTCATCTATCTAAACTAGATGAAATTTCATTGCTTTGCTAAATTGAAGGATGAATTTTATCCTTGAACTTTGTTAAGATTAATTTTATCATGATGAATAAGGTCAAATCTGCTATGATCAACTTATTTCCGTTAATTCAGTTAATTTACCAACCACAAGCTGAGCTACCTGCAAATTTGCAAACTTATATTAATAAGTTTTTAAGTGAAACCACTTCATCAATGAACGCGATGCAAGTTACTGCAGTACCGACCATGGAAACCAATATTATGCCAAAATACGAATACGAAAATCGACCAACAAAGTGCAAGTATTAAGATGTTAGAGAGTTTGAATGCAAACGCTCATTTTATAATTTATCGATTGAATGAAGAATTGAACTCAATCAAAAACATTTTAAAAAATCAAAGTTTTGTTTTTAATAAACTTATGGTTGACACCCAAGGTGACACTTGGGTGCAAGTTCAGAAATAAATTTGCAATTTAAATCAAGTTTTATTTTCATCTAAACTTGCCGCGAAACCGGTTTCGTGTTGAGCCAGAAATGGCTTTTTTATACTACTCATAATCTTCAAAAATAGTTCGGCATTAGTTATAATAATTATAATGCATTTAACTTAATCAATAACTTTTTGGTCTGATTCATCAATAAATTATCCATAAAAAGTGTGTATCTTGTATCTACAGGGCATTTC